GAAAGAGGACATTTGCTTACAGTTTTCTGGATGTAATTAATGTTTCTTTGTTACAGATATTTGTTCCCCTGTAAATGTAATGAGGTTACTTGTGTAGGCTGGGATGTAATAAAGAAAAGGGCCCCTTCGAGCATCTCCTGCTTGCTTCTTTGTGGTGCTGCCTGCTATTGGTTGTGCTGCCTGAGGCACAGCTGCTATAATAGACTCCAGCTCTGGGTTTGTCCCGGAGACCTGTTATTTTAGGCTGTTTGCAGACTGAATATAATAATGCATTGAAAAGTTAGCTTTACAATCAGAGGGCTAATACGAGTTTTTAAGAGTTTCAGTACGCAGAACTCATCCAGAAAATGAAAATCAACAAGGTAAATGGATCTTCCTTCAGTGTGGAAACATTGGGGATTTCTACTTGAATACATTTTAGTCCTGTAGTACACGGAAAAGAGAGTGTGTTCCTCTCTTCCTATAGTTAGAGCTTTCAGGGCTCAGAAGACAATTTGCATGCCTGCAAACCCAGAAATGTACTGAGATGTATGTTTTTTAGAATAACAAGGTAATAATACTCTTAACCTGGAAAACAAGAACTAAATGCAGCTTTGGTGATGCTTGCACATTGGAAGCATATTGTTGGTATATTGTAGAAAACCAACTGAATGACAGTGGGACAATAATGGCACCATAGAGTCCTACTCTAATGCAAACCTATTGGATAATCTCTGTCCTTGAGTTGGCATTAGAGACAGAAGGTCACTGTGGTAAGTTTTTGTTCCAGAATCAATGTCTCTTGCATTGATGTAGACTTCACATTAGCTTTGGGGTGTGTGCTTGCGTTTGACGAACAGCAGTAGACTGTTGTTGTCTGGCAGCCTATGGTTCTGTGTAAACTCATGCTTTTTTATTAAAGGCCATAATTTCAAAAGAAGTTAACATCTACATTTCTCAGTAGAGACAAGGCCTATGGCTGTGGAACCTATCTAAGATCTAGCCACTTTTCCTACGTGCCCTAAAAGAAGCCAAATATGTTTTTGAAAACCTGACTCCCAAGTATAAATGATAATGTAAGTTGAAAAGAAGGGTCTTAAAGCATGGTAGGGGAATAACCATAGAATTCCTTGACCAGTGTTTAGTGCTAAGATTTTTTCCTGATCAATAGAAATATGAATAGTGTTTCATTACTTGGCACAGAATATACCCTGTAGCCTAATGAACAAACAAACTGTTTCTCTTTCAGGTATTATTCCCCTGGATATTCTGAGCTACTTCTGGAAAGGGTGGAAAATTACCATCCAGTTTTATAAACTTCAACTTTTTATTAGAGCTGTATCTCACGTTTATGCCTTTATGACTGTAATACAAATACAGCTGTTGAAACTCTTGTTTGATTCTGAAATCTCCTTCTGTTTGAACTACTGAAAGAGTTCAGCGTTTCCAGCAAACTGTATTTTGTTCTTTATAAACTTGTTTGTTGCTAAGTTTTTGTTCCTTTTTGTTTTTCTCTAATATTACTACCAGATACTGCAGCATATATGAATGGAATTTCGTGCAGGGGTGGTGATTTATCACAGAGGCTTTTTTAGAATCAGTCATTTCCTTTTCCTTCCACAAGAAAGGTTTGTTATTATCTCATTCAAATTTTAGTGTTCTCAGTACTGTAACCCTTTTCCCCTTTGTCTTTGCATATTGTTTAGAGCTTCCCAAACTTGATGAGGGGGGAAAAAAGCTGGCCCCTGTGTTTTTTTTCTAATTATGGAATCCATTCTGCACTGACACATCTCCTACTGCTGCCTTTCAGAATGTAAAGGGATGTGATTTTGCATTTCCAAACGTGTTAGTAGCTGCTAAATTAAGAAACAGTCAGACGATCATAATGAAAGGGCTGAAATCTGCATGAAATGATGGTATGGTGGTCGTGGCATGGTAGATAATGCATCTTCTGCAGGAGTCCTCCTAGTTAAGGCAGGATTCACTGTGGAGGGGAAGGAGCAATACACTGTTTGGTGTAAGCATCATTGCTCCTCTTGGAAAGGACAGAGTGAACTTAGAACTTCATGGGCACAAAGGGAAGGACGCTGGGATGTTCAGTTCCATTTGGGCCAGCAGCAAATTTGTGTGGCTCAGAAGAGAGGAGAATTGCTTGGCTGCAGGAACACTGGTAGCAAAGTTGTGAGCACATTCAGAGGAAGCTTGAGGATACTTGAGCCCCACTGTTTTGAGTGATGGGACTAAGGCTGCTCAGCAATTTCAGCTCTCTAAGTACTGCAGGATTGTGTTGAAACACACTTGGAACCTAGTCTTGAAGTTGCAGATCACATCGACGTGGAGGTTATTGGAAGTATGATCTCTTGCCTGTCTGTAGAACGCCCTGGAAATATTTTTGTCGTCTTATGCTGAGTGAAAAGATTTTTTACGTTCTGCTTGCTCATCTGGTGTACTGTAGCAGTAGAGAGCAGCACACAACTCCTTAGTATTCCCTAATATGTCACTGTCATTTACCTTTTTTATCCTTCTATTTTTCTTTTTCTCGTACGCAGCAGTTTTTTGTGTTGTGGGGTGGTGGGTTGTTTTTTTTCCCAAAGAGTAATAAACAGTGTTTCTGGAACAGGATGTTGAAATACTGGCAGCCACAAGGAAAGACAATATTTGAAAACCCCGGCAGGAGAGAAACTTGTCTACTTTCTTAAACATGTTAACTGAATGAGTTTATAAACCAGGGATAGTCTCTTCTATTACTCATAAAACAGGAGCAAAGACTTATTGCAGTTGGAAATGATTTAGAGTGGCTTTTCTCTGCCAAATTCCCAATGACTATTTTCTTTTATTCTTGTCAGCATATTTTTCAACAGTTCACAAAACCACTGATGGGCTTGTGTTAAGGTTTAATTCTACAGAGAGCTGTGCTCCTGCTATGAGGGACTTGGTGCTCTCAGACTCTGCTCTTCAGGAGGAGCAGGGGATGCACAGTACCTTGCTGTATGGAGCCTAACTGAGATGGAAACTGCTGGTGTCATGAATGCTGGTATAGAAAACACACCAGCTGGGTTCTTAGCCCACATCAGAGGGAGAAATCTTGGAACTGATGAGTTTCTACCAAATGCCTTTTCCTTTTTGGTGTTTATATTCTGACATTTTAATGCTAGGACACTAGTGGAAAAACATGAGGTCTATTAAAAAGATTATTGTAGTACTCTCATTTGCTCACATGCATTATGGATATTTAAAAATAAAATCTTGTATGATCTCTAAAAGAAAGTGTAATGGAAGGGCTCCCAGCCAGCCTTGTAGGATTCAAAGCCTTTATTTTCCCTAGTGGAACAGGAATGGTGTGGAAGGTGGAATGCGGTTGCAGTGCACATGGGAAGCAGGGTAGGCACGGAGCTGCGTACGCATAGCTGCATCATGTGCTTGGGAGCACACCCACAGGACACAATGCTAATGTATATGTTTTGTGCGGAGAGAGCCAAGAGGCATCAGTCCCCTGACAAATGTGCTCCTGCTGTGTCACACTGTGCTACACTGTAAGGATTCCACAGGGTTAAATTTCAATGCCTAAACAATTTGTTCACAGTCTTTTTCTGATTCCTGACAAAGGGAATGATTGCACAAGGCAAACCTTCAAAGCGATCTGATTGTGCAGAGCACAGTCTAAATCAGGCCTAGCATAAATACATCTTTATACCAGATAGGCAGTTGTGTCCTAGGCCAGTGGAACTGTTTGGCCTCTTTTCACAGGACTCCCTGGACGATGCCACATCCCATTAGGCTGTGGCAGTGCAAAGTCCTCTCCCACATACTTGGAGACACGCTCAGCTTTGCTGGCAGGCTGCTTCCCCGCATTGCACGTACATGTCTGCACGAGGCAGATCTACCCCTTTACAGCAGAATTATTGCTAATTTGTATTTTAGGCTCACGCTACTAGGGCAAGAGTTGTATTTTTCCTGTGGTGTTTCATAAGCTGTGATATACATTATTTCATCCTTTCATTTGGCTTAAGTCATCATCTAAAACTACATTAATGTTTGTAATTGCTGCTCTGGCAAGCTTCGAGTGTGCATTGTTTCTCAATTTCATAGGATAAAATATACATTTGCATTTTAATTCCCTGTGTAAATGCTGTTTTCATGCTAGTTTGTGACTCTGATACTAGAGAAGACTAACAGGTTCATTTTGCAGCTTGAGCCTGACACCACCTTTGGATGTTTGTCTCTGCTTACCACTCAACAGTGCCTACTTCGGAGCTTAGGACATAGAAGCATTTCAAGTGAGCGTCCCTCTCACAGAGGTGGCTTATTAAGACACACAAAGAAAACTAAGCCAGTGCTTTGGCAGAAATAAATGTAAGCAGAGACAGCCCTGAAATTCTTTGGCCAGTTAGTTTGACTGCAGCACTGGCATTTTTGAACCCAAGTCTTTCAATATCTTCTCTGGGGGCTCGAGCTATGATTTTTGACTACATTACTACAGCTGTGATTACATGTACAGATGTAAACCAGGGCCTCGAAAGAACATGTGGATGCGTAAAACTTTACCATATTTCATTCAGTGGATGGATTAACTGGCCTACAAAAGCTCCATTCTTTATCTGAATGACTGGAAACCAAGAGGATCTGAAAAGGGGAAATTCAAGGAGTTCAACTCTTGTGCATATAATATGTTCTGCATTTCCAGAGGGATTTACCAAGGGATTGCTTTGTCTCATCTGAAGTGATCAATCTGCTGGAGACCTGCCTCTTAACAAACAAATGAACAAGATGTTGAAGGAGCTGAATGGAACTGGTGAAGGAAGAAATGAATCTCATTTTGTGAAGTAAAGCATAAAGTTACTGTAATTAGGAAGTGGATGGAACGTGGGTAGGTCCTCAGTGTTCTTGATTTGGTCTAGGGGGTTGCAAATAAGCTTGGTCAAAAGGGAGTTTTAGGCAAGGAGGATGCTGAGGGATAACCTTCGGCTTCTGGTGTAAATTGGAGTCATCTGATTTCTGGGCATGTAGGGCTGGCTGACTGACTGTTGTCCCTTCAGGTGAGGAACCTGGGAAAGCATGCGTGCCTCAGTATCTTCCTTAGTGGCTGCTTGGTGTCCAGTATCTTGGTTAGTGGAGTTTTAGATCTCACTCTGTGGCTAGGGTGGAAAGGAAATAGGGAGTAGCACTAGATGGCAAAGCCAGTGGTTTCACTTCTTGCACTGATATGGGATTGCTTTTATGGTCTTGGATAATAATTATGAGAAATCCCTATGTACCATCATCTTCAGCTGTGAAGTATCTGTTATACTCCTTTGTTAACTTGCAGAAGTGCTGGTCCATGCAGCAGAACTTAAGTTCCTTATAACTAATACCATATTCAGAAAGGAATATTGTTCAAAAACCTACAAAAATTTACTGAAAAAGTCTTCCAGATGCAGATTTTTAGCAATTGAGTTGAACTGAAAGCTGGTGGATTTCGTGAGTTTCCTCATGTGACACAATTTGAAGGGATCTTGGTGAAAGAAGAAATTACAATGTCTCTTATGACTATACTAAAACTATTGATGTCATTTTTGTACAATAGTTAACTGTTAATATTGATGCTACTGTGCTGTATTCTGCAGTCAGCTCTGTAATTTAGCTAGTGAAAATACTAATTACGTTATTACAGCTGTACTGTATTTCTAGATACAGCACAAAGATTGAATTAGAAAATACATAGAAGCAATACTACAGCAGATTTTGATGATGAGAATGCCTTTTAAACCAGGAAATGGTATTGTGCTGCCTTTCTCAAGAAGTTACTTGTGTTAAGCACACATCTTAGTTGCTTGTGTTCCCTCCCACCCAAAGGGCTGATCACAAGGCTGGCTGAGTGCTCAGCGAAGTGCCGAGGACTGTCAGATCTGCTGCCTGTAGCAGAAACCTACATGATGAACCATCATTCATCAGCAAGCTGCAGAGAGGAACAATGCGAGCATACCGGTGTCGTCAATGGCTTTCCACAGGGATTTTGAAGGCTTGCTTTTTCTTCATAAAAATATGCTTGCTCCTACTAGTTCCTAATTCCAAACTGAGTTAAAGAATAGGTTTTAGACTAACTTCAGCTACTCTATATTTTTTTATAACAAAAATCAAATTTTGAGGAGGAAAGTGTGTTAACGTTTGTCTGTACAACAAAGTTCTCGATTATTTTTTGTCAAAATCTGCAACAAAGCCCTTAGTAATCTTGTGACAAGACCTGTGCCCTTTGCTCTCCAGGAAAGTTTTGCCTTCGCTGATACAGAGCAGTGTGTTTTATCCCTGTTGTCCTATTTATAAGTAGGTCTGGTGTCCTCTGTACATGCCCACATTTCAATATTAGGTCACTGTTAAAGCCATTGTCATAGAATCATAGAATCAT